GGGCCGCTCTTTCTGCCCGCTGTTGTCTATGCAAGTGTCCTTTATTCTTCTGTCCCCTTTCCTAATAAACCTGCTCTTTCATGTCTTTTGTCTCGTGGAGAAATTCACCCAGAAACTCACCAATGCCGCTATAAAGGGAGCTCTGGGGAAACCTTTCCCAGAGTGAAACCAAGGACCCCACACTCCAAGCCCATCAACTCCAAACAGAAAAACAAATAAAAACAACAACACATCACATATTATACAACTGAGCATTTGAAAAAATATTTGTGTTTGCTGACATTTACATTTTTAAATTCTGCATACCAGACACATGGTTTTTGTGGACATTATTCCTTAGGACAAGGCTAAATTACTTTAAACAATTTCGTGTAGGCACAATGAAAAGAAAGATGTTAATGATAACAGCACAAGTACAAGCTAAGAATCGTGAATGTGCCACTATGATGTGAGAAAAACCCAAGTTAGGGGATTAATTTGCAGATATTGGTTCTGAATTATTTTCTTCCTGATATCAGTGTCCCCACCCTTCCTGTTTTTCTTTTCATAGTTGGTCCTGTCTCTTGGCATCATTAAAGGAACTCTCCAAGAGAAAGACCAAGAAAGTCTTCTTTACCTGAAGCCAGTCTCGGCCCATCTGACTTCCTCAGCCTTGGATTTTCACCTGCCTTTACCTTTGCTTTAAATCTTCCTTCTTTACCTGGAGAGTTCATTCCCAATTCTTCCCATCTGATGAGGACATTTTTATAAATAATGACTTTAACTAGTTATTTACAGTAAGCTGGGATGTTTACTGTTTTAAAAAACCATCCTACCAATTTCCTGTAGCAACCGACCTGTTTCCGAATCCATTGAAGCAGTTTTATTACACAAACTACTAGCACCAGTAAAGACAGTTTCCCCTGTCAGGCCCTGCTACACCTAAGACTGAGAGGGTCTTGCCATGGGGTTTTGGCCCACTGTAGAGTAGGCACTAAACACTTTCTCCAGGTGTTCCTCTGTGTGTGTGTGTGTATGTGTGTTGCAAAAATGATTTCTAATATTTTGACTTCAGACACTAAAAATTTGAAGTCATAGAACATTGCCAAAGAAAACAAAACAGATAATTACTAAAAGTAGAAACAATCTCTCCAGTATGCATGGAACTCAAATTGGAGGAAACGAAAGGAAGGAATCCTTTTAAAACGTGGGGTAAACCAAAGGAAGGGCATGGGGATATTTAGAGGGGCTAGATCTGTTCATGGGCTCTTAGAGGAGAAACAAACTTCTGGAATCTTTACAACAGGAAGCAATAGTGCAATTAAAGTAAGATCCCCAGAAAAAAACAGGCCCTTACTCGCCCCTGAGACTCGGGGTAAAAGCTATGTCCTTGAACGTTTGCCTTGAGAAGACAGAACTGGGTGCCTGGAAGATTTAACAGTCCTGGAGCAGAGAAAGGATTTATGTCTCAAGGTTATAAGTAGCCCCGCAAAAAGGGCCTCTCTGCCCTGTCAGGTTTGGCCTGGAGCAAACAGGAAGTTCCCCCTGCAGCCTGCCTTTCCTCAGGCAGGCATTTTAAGGGGCACCCACCCAGGACATGGTCATCAGCACTAGAAATAGTGTGATCAAGGAGACAGTCTTTGCCAAGGCTCAGGTGACAAGGCTTGCATTGCTTCACAAGATTCCTTAGAACATTGGAGATGGCACTTTTGGGAAAATGAGTCAGGCAGAAGTCACAATACAAACGTTATATAGTAAATGGCCGGAAAGGACAGGCAGCTGGTTGGATGTAACGGCACCAAAATAACACCAGAAACTTGAAAGCCAATGGTCAAACAGGAATATGCTAATTTAAAAAAATGTTTAAAAGACTAGTACATGCTTAGAAAATATATGATGGTGTTTTTCAGTTCTAGGTGACAACCGCAGTACAATTCCTGGCTCCCTGCCCACTCTTAAGCTGTTTGTTTACGGAGCTCACTCATCCACTCTTTTGTAATCCTAGAACCTGACAGGTGTCATGCAGGGTGGCTGGAATACCCTGCACGTGTGCAGCCATGGTTGCTTTCGTCCAGACAACGCCTTTGACTGGAGCCCCAGATAAAGTAAGAATCAGATTTTTCTCTTTAATTTACCCCCAAATTTGAGGCAGTCAAAAAAAAAAATGTACTTGTGACTTTGGAGATGGCTGCTGTTTTCAGAGCGGTTTTTTTCTTAGTTTTTTTTTTTTAATTACATACCAGAAAGGAGAGATATGTATTTCACTATTGACAAGTGTCCCTCTTTAAATGCCAGTTTTATTTTCATTTAAAAATGTATGCTTATAATACACAGTTTTAGGAAACAGAATAAAAGCAGCTGTATTCGCCCCCACCCCCGTCCTCCCTATACCTCCCTCAACAACCACTCGCACGCTTTGATGAGTTTCCTTTCTGTCTCTGTCCTATTTGTTTACAACATTTGATCTAGTCCATAGTGTGGAGGGAGAAGCCTCTCCTTGGGATTTTGCTGTAATGGTCAATGAGTCCAGATAATCAACAAGAAAACAATCACACTCCACTTTTATCAAAGCCCACTGACATCCACCTTCGCGCCTGGTGATCACATCAGCGAGGCTGGACTGTTGATCAGCAAACTAAGGTCAGCGAGGAGAGGGGGTCTTGTCCTCTCTGGACTCCTAGATGGCAGTGTTCAGAGCCAGAAATTAAGGTCTCTGCATCTCTTAAGTAGAGACTGCTCTCGCAGTACATTCTATCATCCTTTCCAATGAAAGTCTGTATCTCCATGAACGGAAATTCCGTTTGAGAGCTGGGACTTCTCCTTCCTGTGGTCTATTTCTGTGCCATGCACACTGCTGTAGTGACTGTGCCCGCTGGCAGCCAGCCCGGGACCCTGCCATCATCCGGGCACACAGCAGTTTGCACGCTGTGCGCAGTTTCCTCAGCTGCCTTGCAGCTGGGTCTGGTCCCTGCCAGCAGGCATCTGGGGCATGTCGCCACCTCTTCAGCTCTCTCACCACAAGAAGAAACTTACCCTGTGTCTCTTCCTTGTCTCAGTCACCGTGTGTGTATCGCAGCCTGCCTATCCCTTTAGCAGTCGGCCCTCGCTGTGGATGTGGATTTCGACAAAGAGCTTGTAAGTGCCTGCTGGACCTGCCTGCCTGGCCCTGGCCCCATGTGTTGACTGCCAAAGCAATGCCATATTTGCTAAGGCTTTCAATGTCTGATTTTCCAGTTTCTCTCTGTCATTTTTAATTTCTGGGTCTCTTTATCTGTCGCCTTCGCCCCTCCAATTCCACATAAGTCTGTAAGTTTAGGTAGATAACAATTAGATGAAATCTAAAATTTCCTAGAAAGGATGTTAAGCCCTGATAGGATTAGCATCCCAAATAAGATGGAGGGTTAAAAAGAATTAAAAAAAAAAAAAAAGAACAAAACAGATGAGATGGAGGGGATGGAGCAATCAGATGGGAGAGGGACCAAAGGAGAGTCAGGAATTTCTGAATGGGGCATTTTAGCCAAAAATGAAATGTTTCTGTGATGACTTCTCAGGTGAATTATAGATATTATGAAAATGATCAATTTAGTTGTTGACTTTAGACAACAAATTGTCTCTCTAGCAATTTGAAGCTGGTATTTCTTCAGTGGGAAATGATTGTTAAAAATTTTATTTTTAAATATCATAGACTATTTTTAAAATAAAAATTTATTTTCGCATAAAATGCTTACAGTTTTTCCTGGAAAAATAAAATCATGATAAACCTAGTCCTTGAATGGTCAAAATCAGCCAGTTGCAATAATCGTCGTTCTTTATTTCTTATGAGGCCCTTGACGGTTCAATTTGGAACTATTGATGTCCAGGTTCTATCACCATAGTGAGGTCAAGCTTCTATTACCATTTACTCTAGATTTTAGGTTGACCCCCACCCCCCAACTGAGACCAGTAAAGAGCTTGTCTGGCAGAACAGGCACACTGCTGGGTGTGAGTGGACAGTGAGTGACCCCGCCTAAGGGCCCTGGCGGTGGGCTCGCCTGCCTCTAGCCCAGACGCATGAGGCTGCGGTCTGTCACACAGCTGTCCCTGTATCTCTCACCAACTTCCCTTTCTCTGCAATCCCCTGGAACTGCTTTTCATAGAAGTATGATCAAGTCATATTCAGGTGCCTCTGGTGAGCCCGTCACAATTCGCCCTCAGCACAGTCAGACATGGAGCTGAGGAGCCCAGTAACCAGACCATTCTTTTTGCTTCAAAGTAGCCGAATTCTTAAATGGGACTCAGTAGTGATTTGTCCAATTTGGCCAAGAATGAAATTAAGTGATTTCCGCATTAAATTTTCCAACTTGGCTTCTGTGTGTGTCCTCCCTAGAGACCTCATCTCACAATCGTGGAAAACAAAAAAGAAAAAATAATAGTTCACCTTTTCTTTTGGAGCCAACTAGTTCCAATATCCACTCTGGCCATGTCTTACTTCCCTTAATTAATTAATTGCTCTTTGATCTCCCACTGGAAACCTCCCTCTTCTGTAGATGGCCAAGAACACAGCTACCCAACAGCACTGCTGGCTCACCGAGGGAAATCAGTGATATCCTCCTACCTGAGCTCATTTTCAACCCTGAATCCTTTCCTCCGGGCCAGCTCCATGAGGAAGGCTCTGCGGGTGCTTCCCATTTTCTTCTCCAAAATGAAGAGAACCAAGTCTCGAAACTTGATATCAGGAGGAGGGGAGGCCACGGAGGCCCCCATCTGCCGGGGCCTCTTCTTCCGAGGGCCTGAGTGGGGCATTCTCAAGGCCTCCATGGGAGAGGCTGCTGCCGCTTCTGGCTGTGCCATCAAGTGTTGCCTCCAGAAGTGAGGGAGCGGGCCCCTCCTTCATGAAGAGCTCTGATGTCAGCTCACTGGCAGCACCTGAGGCCAGGCCAGGCTCTTCCTGCTGACGAGCAGTGAGGAATTCTTACCTCTGTTCTGTCACTTGTCCAATGTGAGCATCGTAATGGATGCAGTATATTAGCTTTTGCTTCCCTGTGAATAATTTCATCAGATCTCAGAATAATTGGGAGAAAGGTAGGGAAGCAGCATTAGTTCTGTGTCATTTATTGATGAGTTAAAGTTTGAAAGTAAATTTAATTAAGTAAATAGTTTGAGACCCCTCGTGCCTTTATTTCTGATCCCCTGTTAACCTCCCAGCTCACTAGCATGCTCTTCCTTTCTTCCAAGGCATTGGATTTCTGTAGTTTGTATGGATGTTATACACTCCATGATAGTTTTGACTTTACATGAATGGCACTGTTGTAGTTCTTATCTTGCTGATCACCTTTCTCCCCCTCACTCAGAACTATGTTTTCAGACCCATCCACATAGCTCTGTGTTCTCATCTGTTACTTCTCATTGCTCTGTAGCACTTCACAGTTGGTGCATTTTATATGTAAGGAAACCAAAGCTCAATTCCTTAAGATCACTGAGCTGGGGCAGAAGCCCATCTTATATTCAAGTCTTAGGGCTCCAAATGCTTTTCAGTGGGCTAAGGTTGTCAAGAGAATTGTCTGGCATATAACCCTGAAATCCATCTTTTGTGATGGGCTGGGATGAATCTTTAGAGGAGATCTTTACTGCTATCAAGAAACATTGCCATAACTTTTTTAAAAAGATTTATTTATTTATGCATACAGAACTGGGGTACAGGCTAGAGGTGCAGGGGAGGTGAGAGGATTCACCAGAGACAGAGTGGGGAGCAGAACAGATAGATGGATGAAGTACACTGCTGAGGGGAGCAGCAGGCAGGTCAGGAGAGGTCTGCCACGCCATGTGGATCTCCTCCAGGGTGGGAATCGAACTTATACTGAAGCGGCTTTAGCTTCTTAGTGCTGTGCTTTAGCCCACTGCACCACCAAGAAGGGCCCTGCCATAACTTTTTATGAATAAAATTAGTGTCCTTCATTAATCCACTGTAGAGACCTGATTACCTGAGCATCTACTATGTGACCAAGGTAAGTACCTATGAGCCTTAGCTGACTGACTCACAGCATGACTGTCTGGTAGGACCAGCTCCCCTAGTTGGCCAAGTAAGTGGCTCAAGCTAACACAGCCAGCAAATGGTCAAACAGGAAACGACTGCCTTACAACTTCCCCAGCAAAAAATCTGTGCTCTGCTCACCCACGCTGCCATATCACTAGACTTCCGCTATCTCCAAAAGCACATGGACTCCTCTCACAACCCCAGGATGGGACAGCTGTCCCCAAGCTTTTGCAAAACTCTCTGTGTGACTCAACAGAGCGAGCATAAACATCTTCAGGTGCAACTTGTAGAATAGTAAGTTTTAACTCCCTGCAAGTAAGAATATTTCATTAACAGAGCTGTCTCCAGGTAGAGTCGAGCTGACGTGTGGTGGTCTGTAGCAGGGGATGAGACCGCTCCAGTAGCGTCCGGACAACTGTTGATTGAAATGTGGCAGCACTTGATTGAAATCTCCAATTTTGGGGCTCTTTTTAAAACTTTATTCTCCACACCGCCCACCTCCCCTTCACCTCCATCTAGACAGACTCTCACCCTGTCCTTCAGAACCACCGGCCAGGTGTAGCTCCGGCTCCTGAGTCCCAGCGCCGCAGGAACTGACCTGTGAGTATCGATGGCAGCAAGAGCAGCAGACAGTGCCCGTTCCGCTGGGATCCACATGCCGGCTCCCTGAGGTCTCCTGCTCGGTGCCCGCAAGTTTCAACAATCCCAGCCACGTCCCACTAGTCTTCCAGCTCTAGTGGTGGGACATTGTCCTACACCTGCTCGGAGTTATCTCAGTGCTCTTGTTTTTCAGCCCTTTGATGCCTAACTAATCCCATATGTTAAATTTGCTTGGTGGAAATACCCAATATGATTTTCTTTTTCCTAACTGGACTGACCCTGAAAACTGTCCAATGCAAGTCAGGTGTAAAAAGAGGGACTTGGCCCTCCCTGGTGGTACAATGGGTGAGGACGCAGCACTGCAAGCTAGCGGCAGCCACGTCAGTGTGAGTTCCATCCCTGCCCCGGAGGTGATCCTCGAGGCACCACAGACCTCTCCTGACAGCCCGCTGCTCCCCTCAGCAGTGCATTTTGTCAATCTGCCTGTTTTGCTCCCTGCTCTGTCTCTGGTGATTCCTCTCACCACCCCTGCACCTCTGGTCTGTACCCCTGTTCTGTATGCACAAATAAATAAAACTTAAAAAAATACAATTAAAAAATAAGGACTCATGGCTGGAGGATAAAGGAAAATCTGATAACAGTGTAAAAATTAAACCTCCTTATAATGCCAAATCCCTTGAATCCAATTTTTATGTGTTTTTTAAGAAAAGAGAGACACATAAAGATGAAAGTGTTTGTTGCCCACTGAGGCACTGGGCAGAGGAGACAAGAGTGTCCACTAACAGGGAGTGATGAATGAAGTGTGAGAGGATGTGATGCCGAGTGGTGACATAATCGTAACAAATGGGTAATGTTCACAATCTAATGCTTATAAAATCAACTAAAATATCTACCGGATGGCATCAATTTTGACAGAGAAGACTAGAAAGATACGTATGGCAAGCTTAACATTACAGTGGCTGACATGGCTCTTGAGTTTATGCATAATTTTGCCTGCACTTTTTGATATTTTACAGCTTTTCTATAATAAACCTGAATGATATTTATAAACATCAAAAATAATTGCTTTTAAAAATTTAACCTTGAGTTGACACCATGTCCTCTTACAGGAAACTGCAAGACTCTACAGAACCATCATTCTCAGGAGCTACTTGTCCCAGATGCTGGGTACCGCCTCGATCCAGTCAATAACTCCCACATCTCTGTGGCTTAACACCACACAGTTCATTTTCTTCTCTGTTGGAGGAGGAGTCTGTCCCACTGGAGGCTTGGGCCGATGGAGGCTTTACATTTTTGTACCTGTACCACGCAGATTCTGAAGCCCCTGAGGCCAGAAGCAGGCCCTGAGGGGTCTTGCATCAGTAACTCAATTCTTTGTCTCAGAAATGACACCATTAGTGTTGGTCAGTGCCCATTGGCCAGAGCTAGTCCTATGGCCCCACACACAACTGCAGTGGGTCTTGGAAATGCAGGGGAGCATGTGAATTTGGGGGGAGACATTTCTGTGCTGCCAGGCCCAAGATCAAGCTAAGTGCTAGCCACTAGATATGGAGATTTCTAAAGGGCGTGGATGCCTCTGCCCTTAGCCTGGCATAGAGATGAGAGAGCATCCAAGCTCTGAATTTCTTCCAGGGGAAATTCTCCAGTAACCAAGTCATTCTGGGGCCTTTTAAGAATTCCAGGCTGTTGGTGTGGTCTTAGACCCAGGGAGATGTGATCCCCTAAAATACCTCCAAACGGTTCCTCAAACTGCTAAACATGGAGCTTCCCTATGACCCAGCAATCCCACTCCTAGGGATCTAGGAGTGGGAACACTGATTGAAAAACACTGATTGAAAAACACTGATTGAAAAAGATACCTGCACCCCATGTTTATTGCTGCTTTATTTACAATTGGAAAAACATGGAAGCAGCCCAGATGCCCAAAAGTAGATGACTGGATTAGAAAGATGTGGTACATATATACAATGGAATATTACTCAGCAACCAAAAAAGAGAAACACATGTCTTTTGCAGCAACTTGGATGGAGCTGGGAAAAATCATGCTTAGTGAGATAAGCCAGAAAGAGAAAGAAAAATACCCATAGCAGGAGTATAATGGACCAGGCGAAAAAATAACAAAAATAATCAGCAACCATATACCAGAGACATTTTGCGGGGGTGGAGTGGGGAATGGGATCAAAAATGGGGGGGTAGGGAGGGAAATGCACGGGATTATGGTGATGGCACAGGGGTGACTTGGTGATTGGAAACCCGCGGGGATTACAATTGAGATGGGAAAAAAAAATGTACAAAATGATGTAAAACTAAACTGTTATAAAATAAAAAAAAATTCTAAAACTAAAAAAAAAAACCTCCAAATGGACTGTTAGTCATTTCAAGCATCATGCAGATAGAACATCCCTGACAAAGTGTCAAAGGGTGATCCCAAATCCGGGTTGGGTTTCGCCTTCTCCCCCTTGGGCCTGCGCTCCTGGCTGGCACGGGGCTGACTTGTCCTCTTGCTCCCGTGCAGTGGCTGCTCTCAGTGTAATGCTGATGCTGGTATGCACTGTCCACTTAGCCCTCGAACCACCGCAGGGTCTTGTCCAAGGAGCCATAAAAAGGAATTTGCAGATGTTTTAGTAAGTAAGCAGAGAGAAAACAGCTTTGTTCAAGAAAGTAAAGTTTATTTAGAGAAAGAATAGCAAAAGCAAAGATTCCAAGCAGTTAATGCCAAGGAGGGACAGAAGACACTCTGGGGGCCTGTGTCCAGGGGATATAGACAAAGGGCCTCAGACTGACCAGTAACTGCTGCCTTCTGAAGATGGGCAATGTGGAGAAGCAGTCACGAGCTCCACTGCAGGGTGACAGTCTAAAGGACGTTGGAAGCAGGACGGCGGGAGCGTCATATCGGGCTCCATCTGAAGGCCCATTTGAAGCCTGCTGGCTTTTAGGTGAGAGGAGATGGTTTTGCACAAATGAGAAAGGGGAGCAACCAGGACAAATGTTTTTTTTATGGAGACAAAGACAGTGGCCAGCTAGGCCCTTGGCCTGTCTATATTTTGAGGTCCTCTATAATATAGATATTTTTTAATAGCACCAGGTTTTCTTCTGCCTCACTAGAAGTGTTAATCCAAAAACCAACCGTTTTATTTAAGAGGGTATAAAGTCCCCCAGCTGTTGCCATGAACAAGGTAGCAGT